GCTCTGGGAGGGGAGTGGGGTGCAGTGGTTAGAGCAGGGGGCTGGGAGCCCGGACTCCTGGGTTCTCTCCCCAGCTCTGGGAGGGGAGTGGGGTGCAGTGGTTAGAACGGGGAGGTCTCATTCCCGGGATCCCTCTCCCCCCCGCCAGCGTTTTCTTCCTGCACAAGAAGGTGATCAGCGCCCTGCACAACCTGCTGTGCAGCCACGACGCCGACACCCGCTACGCCGCCCCCCCCGTCCGCGCCCACGTGGCCCAGCTCTACCTGCCGCTCCTCAGCGTCGTCCTGGACGCCCTGCCACAGCTCTACGACTTCACCGGTGAGCGGGGCAGGGGCTCGGGACCCACCGGGCAGCCCCGGGCTCTAACCACTAGCCCCCACCCCTTCCCAGAGCCGGGGAGAGAGCCCAGCAGGCCTGCCTCTCAGCCGCCCCGGCTCTAACCACTACACCCCACTCCCCTCACAGAGCCGGGGAGAAAACCCAGGAGTCCTGGCTCCCAGCCCCCCCGCTCTAACCACTAGACCCCACTCCCCTCCCAGAGCTCGGGAGAGAACCCAGGAGTCCTGGCTCCCGGCTCCCAAGGCCAGGGAGAGGACGCAGGCGTCGGAGCTCCTGACCCTGTCCCGTTTCCTCTGTCCGGGGACCCCCGGGCTGGCTGGTGCCCTGACGCCCCCCAGCACTGCGCTCTCCCCCCCCCAGAGAACCACAGTCCACGCGGGCGCCTGGTCACCGTGCCGGGGGACGAAGGAGACAGCGACAGCGGCACCATCAGCCAGTCGGTGGCCATGGCCATCGCCGGCTCCCCCCTGCCCCACGCCCACCGGGCCAGCCCCTTCCCGCTGCCGGCAGCCGTGAGTACCCGTCGAGGCGCAGGGGGAGGAGGGGAACATCGGAGCGACCCTGATCTCTGGAGACGGAAAGCTCCCTTCCCGGGGTCCCCTCTCCCTCCCAGAGCCAGGGAGAGAACCCAGGCGTCCTGGCTCCCAGCCCCCGCCCTCTAACAACTCGATCCCCACCCAGAGCCGTGAGAGCCCCTCTCTGGGGCTGGGCTGGTGACGGAGCCAGGCGTGGCTCCCCTTCGAGCACAGCGCCCCCTGGGGGGGGCACCTGCGGGCTCGTTTGGCCTTGCAGGGCTGTCCCCAGTGAGCAGCCGGGCCTGGGGGTGGGGCCAGCCCCCAGGATCGATCCTGGGCCCCCCAAAGGTCCCGATCCCAGCCCCAACTGTGTGAGTGAAACTAGGGGCTGGGAATGGGGGGCAGCTGCTGGAGGGCGCCCCATGGGGTACGGTCCCTGAGCTCCCACCAGCCGAGTAGAGGGTGGGCGCTGACCCCGTATCTCCCCGCGCCCCTCCCCTCCCCCCGGCCGGCCGGGGCTGGGCGCTGACCCGTCTCTCCCCGCGGTCCCCCCCCGGCCAGGCGGGGCTGGGCGCTGACCCGTCTCTCCCCGCGGCCCCCCCTGGCTGGGCGGGGCTGGGCGCTGACCCCGTCTCTCCCCGTGCCCCCCCCGGCCGGGCGGGGCTGGGTGCTGACCCGTCTCTCCGCGCAGGCCCCCCGGCCGGCCGGCACTCTGTCGGCCGAGGCGAGCCGCACCCTGCTGGCCTGTCTGCTGTGGGTGCTGAAGAACGGGGACGCGGGGGTGTTGCACAGCTGGTGTGCGGAGCTGCCCCCCCTGCACCTCGGCCGCCTCCTCGACCTGCTCTACCTCTGCGTGGCCTGCTTCGAGTACAAGGTGCGGGGTCTGGGGGGACCCGGGGGGATCTGGGGCAGGGATCCAGCGGATGGGGGGCAGATCTGGGGGGGACCCAGTGGGCCGGGGGGGGAACTAGGGGCAGGGATCCAGCAGGCTGGGGAGATCTGGGGGCAGGGATCCAGCGGGCGGGGGGTGGATCTCGGGGGGGGGGACCCAGTGGGCTGGGGGGATTCCCCGGGGGTCCAATTCCCCCAGGAACCTTCCATCAGCCCCCCCCAGTGCTTAATCTCCCCCCCCCTCCCCCGCAGGGCAGGAAGGCCTTCGAGCGCATCAGCAGCTTGGCCTTCAAGAAGTCGCTGGACATGAAGGCGCGGCTGGAGGAGGCCATCCTGGGCACCGTCGGCGCGCGCCAGGAGATGGTGCGGCGCAGCAGGGGTGAGCCATGGCCGTGCCCCCCCTCCCTGCCCCCTACCCCACCGGCCCCACCCCCTGCACCTGCCAGACTCCCCCAGCCTGCCCCTGCGCCCCACCTCAGCCTGCAGCCCCCCCAGCCCCTGCCATGCGGCTCCTGACCCCCCCCCCCCTTCCCGCAGAGCGCAGCCCCCTGGGGGGCCAAGAGAGCGTTCGCTGGAGGAAGAACCTCGCCCACTGGCGCCCGAACTCCGACAAGGTGGACAAGTACGTGGGCTGCGGCGCCGCGGGCCCCGGCTGGGAGGGGAGGGAGGATGCTGGGGGCATGGGTGGGGGCTGGCTGCTGGGGGTCGCCGGGGTGGAGGGGAGGGTGGATACTGGGGGGGCGCCGGGGTGGAGGGGAGGGTGGATACTGGGGGGGCACCGGGGTGGAGGGGAGGCTGGCCGCTGGGGGCACAGGGGTGTGGGCTGGCCGCTGAGGGGGGCACTGGGGTGGAGCCGCGCTGGTGGCTGGGCGGTGGGGGGTGCTGGGGGACCCCGGGCTGGGGAGTGCCAGGCAGAGAGCAGGATGGAAGTGATGCCAGGGAACCCAGGGCACTGTGGGGGCACTGGCCCTGGGGGGCTCCAGGCTGGGGGCTGTTGGGGCAGTGTCGAGGTGGGGGATAGATGCTGGGGGGCCATGGGGTGGGTGGGCGCTGGGGGCACCGGGCAGGGACCAGGATGGGAGCGACGCCAGGGAGCCCATGGCACTGTGGGGGGCTGGCCCTGGGGGGCAGAGGGGGTGGGAGGGGTGGACGCTGATGCCCCACTCTGCCCCCAGGAGCCGGGAGGAGGTGGAGCAGGAGGTGCTGGTGGAGGGAAACCTGGCGACCGAGGCCAGCCTGGTGGTGCTGGACACGCTGGAGATCATCGTCCAGGTGGGGGCAAGGTGGAGTTACCCCCACACCCGCCGCTGACCTGTCCTGCCCCCTCCCAGAGCTGGGGATGGAACCCAGGAGTCCTGGCTCCCAGCTCCCGCCTCTAACAACCAGCCCCTGTGAACATCAGGCACTGCTTTCCCCAGGAGACTCTGCCCTCCCGTCCCCCCCGGCAATACCCTACAAGCTCTGCCCCGCGGCAAGCTCCGCCCTCCCCCCAGTGAGCTCCGCCCCCAGAAGCACTGCCCTCACGGCCCCTCCCCCAGCAAGCTCCGGCCTCCTCCCTCCCGGCAAGCTCCCCTTCCCTGCCCCCCACCCCCCAGCTCTGCCCTCCTGCTTCTTCCCTTCCCCGCCCCCCGGCGAGCTCCGCCCCCACTCCCCAAAAGCTCCGCCCCCAGAAGCACCCCCCTCCCGGCCCCTCCCCCAGCAAGCTCCGCCCTCCCTGCCCCGAGCTCCGCCCTCATGGCCCGTGTCCCCGCAGACGGTGCTGCTGGCGGAGGCCAAGGAGAGCGTGCTGGACGGGGTGCTGCGGGTGCTGCTCCACAGCATGGCCTGCACGCCCAGCGCCCTCTTCCTGCAGCACTGCTTCGCCTCCCAGAGGGCGCTGGTGAGCAAGGTGAGTGGGGCCCCCCAGCGGGGCCTGACCCGCGCAGGTAGAGCCATGGCCCGCGGGGAGCTGGGGGGTTGTTGACGGGTGACCGGGCTGCCGGGGAGAAGGGAGATCGGAGCCCGGGGGGGGGGGCCGGCTCTGGGGGGGTCGCACCCAGGTTCGTGTCACTCCATCCAGAGGGAGTGGGGAAGCCAGGACGGGAACCCAACCCCCTGCCCACTGGACCCCACTTCCTGCCAGTGCCGGGCGAGAACCCAGGCGTCCTGGCTCCCAGCACCCCCCACTTCAGCCACTGGACCCCACTTCCTGCCAGCGCCGGGTGAGAACCCAGGCGTCCTGGCTCCCAGCGCCCCCTGCTCCCTGCCAGCGCCAGGTGAGAACCCAGGCGTCCTGGCTCCCAGCACCCCCTGCTCCCTGCCAGTGCTGGGCGAGAACCCAGGCGTCCTGGCTCCCAGCACCCCCCACTTCAGCCACTGGACCCCACTTCCTGCCAGCGCCGGGTGAGAACCCAGGCGTCCTGGCTCCCAGCGCCCCCTGCTCCCTGCCAGCGCCGGGTGAGAACCCAGGCGTCCTGGCTCCCAGC